GGGAGGCAGCAAACAGGGTCTAAAGGCCTCCATGTTGTGTCCATAGGCGCTGCTGGTTGTGGGACGCCGCCATTGCAATCGCGAACGAATTCTGCTGTTATCAGAGATAACAACTTCAACTTCTTCAACTGATTCAGGAGCAGTTATAAAGTATTTTCTTCATCCTTCTGTCATTCTGCAGAACGACTGCCAAAACAGCAACGCTCTTAAACAGTGCGGCTGTCATGTCAGTGCTTGGAGATGCAGATTAGATATTCAAAATAGAAATGTTTGTAGATCCGTTTCTTGCTCATATATACGACGTATCTATTCCAATTGAATGTGCAATGCCGTAATTATCACGGACTGGTGATTGTGGGTGAAAGAGAAGGAATGTAACCTGTTACACTTTGTGTGTGACACTTGTTAGTCATGGCTTTAAGTTCAAACACACTTCTTGTCTATTGCTAGGAAAATGGAGGGATTCCCGATCAGCCAGAATGGAATCTGAAGCTGTACCGAAAATTACCAGAATGACAGCGTCTGGAAAGAAACCGCCGATGGGATTTGAAGGTCCATGGTCAGCTGAGCCCACTTATATCAAGGTGCATCAGCAGCTCTTCTGTCAGACTGATGCACCTGTAGCAAGCTTTCTTCTTCTTTCATTCCTATTTTTACAGCAGTTTTAGTGTCACTCTGCAGAACAAACCATTTCAGCTCCTTGTTTGAGTCACAGTTACTTTCAGAAGATGGTAGCTCACGTTTTGAGTTTAACAAATCCTTTCACTGGTGGCCAGGATTCCAGTCTTTTTCACGTCCCTGAGCCCTGCATCCCCAAACCTCTACGTGGGGACCAAGGAGGTAAATCCCTCCGCACTGTAAGGGCAGAGCAAGTCCGACAGTGCCTCCTTAGACTGAATGAATAGCAGTCTATGGGGCCGGATGGCTGCATCCCAGGGTCCAGAAGGAGCTGGCTGAGGTGGTTGCCGAGCCGCTCTCCATCATATTTGAGAAGCCGTGGCTGTCAGCTGAGGTCCCGGATGACTGGAGGAAGGGTCACGTCACTCCCATGTACAAGAAGGGGAGCAGGGAGGAGCCGGGGAACTACAGGCCGGTGAGTCTCACCTCCGTGCCTGGGAAGATCATGGAGCAGATCCTCCTGGACAACATGCTCGGTCACATGAGGAATGAGCATGGGATCCGAGACAGCCAGCACGGCTTCACCAAAGGAAGGTCATGCCTAACTCATCTTGTGGCCTTCTGTGATGGAGTGACGGCATTGGTGGACGAAGGGAAGGCGACCGATGTCATTTAGCTGGACCTGAGCAAGGCCTTTGACACGGTCCCCCACCACATCCTCATCTCCACATTGGAGGGAAGTGGATTTGATGGGTGGACGACCCGATGGATGAGCAATTGGTCGAAAGGCCGCAGACAGAGGGTGGTGCTCAATGGCTCTGTGTCCAGGTGGAGGCCGGTAACAAGCGGTGTCCCCCAAGGGTCTGTCTTGGTCTGGGCTCGGGTGAACCTGATGAGGTTCAACACGGCAAAGTGCAGGGTTCTGCATTTGGGCCGGAGGAACCCCAGGCACCTGTAGAGGCTGGGAGGAGTGGGCCTGGAGAGCAGCTCGGCAGAGAAGGACCTGGGGGTCCTGATGGACGAGAGGCTGAACATGAGCCAGCAGTGCGCTCTGGCAGCTCGAAAGGCAAATGGGATCCTGGGCTCCATCAGGAGAGGGGTGGTCAGCAGGGACAGGGAGGTGATCGTCCCTCTCTGCTCGGCTCTTGTGAGGCCCCATCTGGAGTCCTGTGTCCAGGTGTGGAGCCCTCAGGACAAGAAAGACAGAGAGATTTTGGAAAGGGTCCAGAGGAGGGCGACTAAGAGGATGAGGGGGCTGGAGCAGCTCCCCTATGAGGACAGGCTGAGGGAGTTGGGCTTGTTCAGCCTGGAGAAGAGAAGGCTGCGGGGTGACCTCATGGCAGCCTATCAATACCTGAAGGGAACCTACACCCAGGAGGGGAGTCAACTCTTCACAAGGGCTGACAACAGCAGGACGAGGGGAAATGGATCCGAGTTGAAGGAGGGAAGATTTCGGTTGGATGTTAGGGGGAAGTTCTTTACATGGAGAGCGGTTGGGCCCTGGAACGGGCTGCCCAGGGAGGTTGTGGATGCCCCGTCCTTGGACGTGTTCAAGGCCAGGTTGGACGGGGTCCTGGGCAACCTGATCTGAATGTGGATGTTTGGTGGCCCTGCCAGGCAGGGGGGTTGGAACTACATGATCCTTGGGGTCCCTTCCACCCCGGGTGATTCTGTGATTCTGTGATTCTATGGGTCTCAAAGTGTCTCTATGGGTCTGAATGTGTCTCTATGGGCCTCAATGTGTCCCTATGGGTCCCAATGTGTCTCTATGGGTCCCAATGGGTCCCAAAGTGTCTCTATGGGTCTCAAAGTGTCTCTATGGGTCCCAATGTGCCAAAATGTGTCTCTACGGGTCTCAATGTGTCCCTATGGGTCCCAATGGGTCCCAATGGGTCCCAATGTGTCTCTATGGGTCTCAACGTGTCCGAATGGGACCCAATGGGTCCCAACGTGTCTCTATGGGTCCCAATGGGTCTCAATGTGTCTCTATGGGTCTCAATGTGTCCCTATGGGTCCCAATGCGTCCCAATGGGTCGCAATCTGTCTCTATGTATCCCAACGTGTTTCTATGGGTCCCAATGTGTCTCCATGGGTCCCAATGTGTCTCTATGGGTCCCAGCGAGTCTCTATGGGTCCCAACGTATCTCTATGGGTCCCAATGTGTCTCTATGGGTCCCAACGAGTCTCTATGGGTACCAACGTGTCTCTATGGGTCCCTATGTGTCTGTATGGGTCCCAAAGTGTCTCTATGGGCCTCAGTGTGTCTCTATGGCTCTCAACGTGTCTCTATGGGTCCCAATGTGTCTCTATGGGTCCCAACGAGTCTCTATGGGTCCCAATGGGTCTCAATGTGTCTCAATTTGTCTCTATGGCTCTCAATGTGTCTCTATGGCTCTCAATGTGTCTCTATGGGTCTCAATGTGTCTCTATGGGTCTGAAAGTGTCTCTTTGGGTCCCAATGAGTCTCCATGTTTCTCTATGGGTCCCAATGGGTCTCTATGGGTCTCAACGTGTCCCTATGGGTCCCAATGGGTCCCAATGTGTCCCAATGTGTCTCTATGGGTTCCAACGTGTCTCTATGCGTCCCAACGTGTTTCTATGAATTCCAATGTGTCTCTATGGGTCTCAATGTGTCTCTATGGGTCTCAATGTGTCTCTATGGGTCCCAACATGTCTCTATGTGTCTCTATGGGTCTCAACGTGTCTCTATGGCTCCCAATGTGTCTCTATGGTCCCAGCAGGAGCTCCTGACCTGCACAAGCAGGGGTAGAAGGAGCTCCGTGCCGTTTGGCCTCGCCGAGGAATTCGCAAGACCCAGCCCACAGCGTCTGAAGCAGAACCCTGAGCCCAAAGTGCAAGAGGTTACAAAGGCGACAGCGGGCACGGCTTCGGGTCACCCCAAAGGGCAAAGAACTCAGCCTGGCTCGTGAGCCACATCGGGCAGAAGAGACGCCTGGGCACCAAGGGAAGCATCGTGCGACGCTCTGATGCCCTCTCAGCGTTCTTTCTCCCTGCCCCGGCATCAAAAGAGGCGGCGTAACGAGGCGCAATGACTCCGTCACAGCCATCGTGGGGATGTTTCAAGGTAGGCCCCCGGTAAGGCTTTATTGATGGTTCTGCCCCTCGACATTTCACTCGACATCTCCTCGCTTGGCCTGGAGAAGGGAAGGCTGCGCGGTGCCCTCATTGCAGCCTTCCGTACGTCAAGGGAGCCTACGAATAGGAGGGGAGTCGACTGTGATGGTGCGGCCGACGTCAGGCCAAGCGGACGTGGTGTGGAGTTGAAGCTGGGATGTCAGGTTGGGTTGTTCTTTGCAGAGAGAGCGGTGAGATGCTCTCTCGGAACCGGATGCCCGCAGAGGTTGTTGGACGCCCCGTCCCTGGAGGTGTTCGAGGCCAGGTTGGACGGGGCCCTGGGCAGCCTGGTTTCGTATGAGATGCGACGCAGGTGGGATTCAAGCGTCCGTTTGGCAGCCTGCAGTTGCTGTCTGTGTGTCTGGGCAGCCCATGCCCGCATCAGCACGGCTGGGCTGAGCCCTTCCTGCAGGTGTTCGGAGGCTGACGCTCGGCACTCAGCTCTGCAGGAAGATCTTCTGGCAGCTGGTGTCTGCCCCAAGGCGGCCCGATGCGGTGAGGCCTCGGCTGTCTGCACGTTGGGCAGCACGCCGTCCCCATGGCCTTTTTCTGCCCCGTGTTGTTCCTGCAGGGCGGGCTTTGGTCTTCGGAGGCTGACGGCTTGGGAGACTGCGTTTCTTCTCTCCTGGGTGGCAGCGATGCGGATGTGCTGTTTGCAGACTGCTCAGGCAGGCTGGCCTCGCCACGAGCTCTTGCTGCCGCCATCGTGCTGAGGTTCTTGCTGCGCAGCCCTGTGCTGAGCCCTCATCCTCATGACTTGGATGGAGTCGCGTGGCAGCAGCGGGAACCTGGAACGTCTGCCTGGAGGCTGCGAGGACAGGCTGCACTCAGCTCTGGACCAAGATCTTAGGAACGTTGGCGTCTGCCCAAAGGTGACCCGACGGGGTGAGGCCTCGGCTGCCTGCAATTTGGGCAGCACGCCGTGCCCATGGACTTTTTCTGCCCCCAGTTGTGCATCAGAGAAGCTCACGTGTTTCGCCCGCGGTGCTGGGCCCAGCTCTCGTTGGCTTGGAGCTCCCGCGTCCCCCTGCAGCTGGCAGGGCAGCGGCTGCTTTTGGGCCTCAGGCACCTTCCGCATGGCTGGCAGCAGTCTGCAAGGACAGAGCAGGAGGGGTCCGCGTGAGGGGCTGGTGGCTTCGGGGCCGCAAGCCTGAGCCGGGAGCCTGGGCTGCGTTGCAGTCGGTTGGGGTGAAGGGGAAATGGTTTCAAAGGGCAGAAGATTGAGATGGGACGTAAGGAAGGAGTTTGTGGGCAGGAGGGTGGCGAGGCACCGCAGCATCTTGCCCGGAGAGCCGGTGGGTGCCTGGACGGGCATTGGAGGTGGGGCTGGAGCAGGCTCAGCCTGTGCCCAAACTCCCTGCCCGCAGCCTGCTCACCGGCTGCCCCTGAGACGCGCAGAGCGGCAGCCCTGTGAGCTGGGGGTCCCCATGGCAGCACGGCCACAAACAGGGAGCCTTTGGGATTAGGGAATGGGCTTCGGTTGGGTCGCCCCCGTGCGCACGGCAGCCCGCAGCCTCACCTGGGTGTAGAGCTCCTCCTGAGCAGCAAGTTCCTTATCCTTCTGAAGTGTCCTCCGTCAACGCTTGAAGTGCTCAAGCGTTTGCTTATCGTCGGACGGCCAGCAAACCTCACTGCAACGGGGAAGGCAGAGGAGATTCACCGTCAGCCCTTTGGCTCGCTCCCCAGGGGCGCTCAGGCCCCTTCCCACAGCAGCCCAGAGGGCCGCTCCGCTCCCCCCGCTGCTCCCATCCGCGCCGCCCTCCCTGACGGCAGCCCTGGCCCCGCTCCTCCTCTCTGCAGCTCAGCTCTGTGCTGGGACCGCATTCGTGGCGTTGGCTTTGGGAAAGAGGAGCTGGGTGGCGACGGTGAGGCGGCAGGGGGATTTTTGGGGGAGCGCGTCCTTCCGTCGGGGGAGGGCAGGGCCTCAGATCCGCACATCCTCCTGCCATAGCCAGGGATGGGGGCACGTCCCAGCCAGCGCCTTGTCTTTGGGCAGGCCAGCAGTTCCTGACGGGAAGGGGCCGCGCTGAGCCGGCGTGAAGCTTTGCCACCAGTCAGAGCCCTGGGCTGGTGCTCAGCAGGGGATTTCCTACCTCTAGTTGGCCGCCCGTGCCCTGGAAAGGAGCCGGAAGCTGCTTTACCTGTCTTGCCCTGGTCCACAGGTGACAAAGCGGCTTCTCTCTTTGCAGTCTCCCAACCAAAGAGGCTTCCCGAGGACTTGCGGCGCATTCCGGGCGGTGGTTTGGGCGCAAACTCCATTTGGAACCTGCACGAGAGGAGAAGGCAGCGAGTGGTGTGACGCAGCCAGCACTGCTTGCTGCTCTCTGACTGCCTGCTCCCAGGCACGTCTTGGTGCCGCATGAAGCACGCTCCTTTGCAAAGGCTTGAGCAGGGTCAGGCGGTTCAGGTGGAAGGGAAACGAGTTTCAAACGGCAGGAGATTCAGGCTGGATGTCAGGAAGAGGTTTTGGACAGGAGGGTGGCGAGGCACCGGAGCATCTTGCCCGGAGAGCTGGTGGTGCCTGGACGGGCATTGGAGGTGGGGCTGGAGCAGGCTCAGAGCAACCTCCTGTGGGGGTCGGTGTCCCTGTTCCCCGCAGGGCAGTGGGACGAGGTGCTCTTTCAGGGCTCCTTCCAGCTCCAATCCTGCTGTGGTTCTGTGACACACGGGCAGCACAGACACGGACACACGGAACAAGCGCTGCGCAACGAGAGCTGAGCAGCCGCGCCGCAGCCACCAACAGACTCACGTGGGAAAGACGACGAGGCAGCCGGAGAGCACCAGGGAAGCCAGCGGTGCCACGCGGGACACCACCATGTCCAGCAGCCAGGGGGCCTGCGGGGGACAGAAGGGGAGGCTGTGGGAGTCTGTGGCTCTCAACGGGTCTCTATGGGTCTCAACGGGTCTCTATGGGTCTCTATGGGTTTCTATGGGTCCCAGTGTGCCTCTATGGGTCCCAGTGTGTCTCTATGGGTCCCAACGTGTCTCTATGGGTCCCAACGTGTCTCTATGGGTCCCAATGTGTCTCTATGGGTCCCAATGTGTCTCTATGTGTGCCAACATGTCTCTATCGGTCTCTATGGGTCTCAGTGTGTCTCTATGGGTCTCAGTGTGTCTCTATTTGTCCCAGTGTGTCTCTATGGGTCTCAACGTGTCTCTATGGATCCAAATGTGTCTCTATGGGTCCCAATGTGTCTCTATGGGTCCCAACGTGTCTCTATGGGTCCCAATGGGTCTCTATGGGTCCCAATGTGTCTCTATGGGTCCCAATGTGTCTCTATGGGTGCCAACATGTCTCTATCGGTCCCAATGGGTCTCAGTGTGTCTCTATGGGTCTCAATGTGTCTCTATGGGTCCCAAAGTGTCTCTATTGCTCTCAACGTGTCTCTACGTGTCTCTATGGGCCCGAGCAGCCGGCCGCGTTCTGATGTGTGCTTGGGCACGGCGAGGCTCACGGCAGTGCCAGGGCCGCAGAGGAACCTACAGCTGACCTTGAAAGCAGCTCTTCTGAATGCCTCTTTTCCGGACAGCTTCTCGAGGAAGTCGAAGTAGTATTTCATGTGGAAGGTCAAGCCGTCAACCAGGAGCACGCCGATGTCTTTCAGGACGATGGCGACGTTCTCCCCGTTCTGCAGGCAGCCGGAGAGCAGGGACACGGTGCTCTGGATGCCGGTCCTGAGGGTCTGCCAGCTCAGAGAGGTGCCTGCGGCCGCCTTGCTGTATCTCAGAGGGTCCAACTTCCTGTGCACTGCAAAATGCGAGAGACGCAGGTGATGAGAGGGTTGATTTCCCACCGGTGCTTCCCTAGAAGGGCTTCGGGTGGCCGTCAGCCTGAGCGGCCCCAGGTTTGGCCAGGGGAAGGTTTGCTGTTGAGAATGGAGCGGTGGCCCCGTTTGCCCTGTCCGTGATGCCAGCAGAAGTGGAATCCCCCCTCCTACCTGCCAGGGAGTCCCTGCGGGCCTTGAGGTGGTGGGTGACCATCAGGTTTGTAGCCAGGTTGAAGACGGGCCACTGCAGGGTCACGGTGCCGTTCTCAGTCCAGACGTCTTTGGAGATGGTGTCAAAGGTGCCAAAGGTGGGGATCCAGACCCCCTGCAAGTGGCAGAGAAAGGAAGGGCGCAAGGGTTACGGGACGGCCGGAGGAAGAGCCGGCGGGGGGCCGACGTGGGGACGGAGCTCAGGAGCCTCTGCCGCCGTTCAGAGGCACGAGGCAGGCATCAGGAATGGCTTGGGAAGGGGCTGCACGGTCCTCTCCTTCCCCTCGCCCTCCCGGATGCAGCCCAGCAGGCTGCAGGGCAGAAGGAGCCCCATGGCATCCAGAGGCTCCCAGAGACCGGGATCAGCCCTGAGATCCGACAGGGCCCAGCACAAGCGACCGTGCATTTGCAGGAAGGCCGTGGGATGCCCAGGAGAGAAACGTGGGGGCAGCTTCCTGCTTTCTGCAGAGGGGAAGAGGCTGAGGGAGTCCAGGCCGAGCTGGACGGCGACAGGAGGAACCCGACGGCCAACACACCTTGTGCACCAGCAGCTCCTCCCGGATGTAGGCGGCCACCGCATCCCA